TTACTACTACTGATGAGTTTTGGGTCCTTTTTTCTGTTGTGGAGGGGTTAGACGTTTGGAAAGAGCATAAGCATCGATTTATCTGGATAGCTTGACAGTTTCCAGAATTCAGAGGAGGGCATTCCGAATAGCATTCAATCTATTCAATGGAAGATTATATGTTTCGACATGCAAGATCAAGGCACTCTGTGCGGTCAGAGCTCTAAGTATTCAGGTCTCGTATTCAACATTGGATGGAGCAGTTTTAGGTCTTGCTGCTAGTGTTTTCACAGGGACAGAAACACAATCTGTTGGTTTAAGCGCGTAGTGATTTTCTCTTCGTTGAACATGGCCAATCATAGAAGCCGTGACCGCAATTGTAGGTTGTCCAGATCAACAAGACCGGTCGTTTTAATTACTGCTTCGCTAGAAGCCATGTCTCAAAATGTAACCCCTGTAATCATACACTGAGCTTTCTGATTAACCCTTTTAAGAGGGCTGGATTTTGTTTTGGTCTGGGCTATCGGCTCAGAGCAGTTTATCACAACTGGCCGGAGACAAGCTCCCTAGATGTGATACCTTGTATTTGAGTCAAAGTCTTTTTGCAGCAATAGAGGCGCAATTTGCCGCCATTTCTTCTGACCGATTATGCACGCTTTGCGTCACGTAAAATGGTCACATTTGAAATACTACTTACCACTACTGATGAGTTTTGGGTCCTTTTTTCTGTTGTGGAGGGGTTAGACGTTCGGAAAGAGCATAAGCATCGATTTATCTGGATAGCTTGACAGTTTCCAGAATTCAGGAGGGCATTCTGAATAGCATTCAATCTATTCAATGGAAGATTATATGTTTCGACATGCAAGATCAAGGCACTCTGTGCGGTCAGAGCTCTAAGTATTCAGGTCTCGTATTCAACATTGGATGAAGCGGTTTTAGGTCTTGCTGCTAGTGTTTTCACAGGGACAGAAACTCGATCTGTTGGTTTAAGCGCGTAGTGATTTTCTCTTCATTGAACAGGGCCAATCATCTAAGCCGTGACCGCAATTGTAGGTTGTCCAGATCAACAAGACCTGTCGTTTTAATTACTGCTTCGCTAGAAGCCATGTCTCAAAGTAACCCCTGTAATCATACGCTGAGCGTTCTGATCAACCCTCTTAAGAGGGCTGGATTTTGTTTTGGTCTGGGCCATCGGCTCAGAGCAGTTCATCACAACTGGCCGAAGACAAGCTCCGTAGATGTGACACCTTGTATTTGAGTCAAAATCTTTTTGCAGCAATAGAGGCGCAATTTGCTGCCCTTTCTTCTGACCGATTATGCACGTATTGCGTCACCTCTACCGAAAATCATGTCACCCAGTTAGCAATTTCCTTGACATTATACAGTGTTTCATATTGATTGATCCGTAGAGTAGCATTTATTCAGAATCGCAGCGTATTGAATTGACGCCGACTCCTTTCAAGCAACAAGCGCATGTATACTTTCTAGTCTTTTGAGGAATATACTTGTGGGCTGAAATCAAATGCTTTGCTTTATTAGGTTTAATTTCTGAACCGCATTTTTTGTTACCTTGTTTCAAACTGGGTTTCTTAGCCTCTTCTCTTAGTCTCTCTTTCTAAGTTTCTCTTAGCCTCTTCTATTTTTTTATATAAATAACACAGGGCTAAGTGCCGATCCTTAATGTACGCCTACCTCAATTTCAAAGTAATCACTGCATCCATGGAGCCGGTCAACTCTGTAACCCTAGCCGAAAACCATAGTTCGCCGGCCACAAGGATGCAGTGAGTACTTCGAATTTGTAATCCACGAGCATCAAGGATCAGCACCAAGGACAATTTGTCTGTACACCGAGTCGAAAACAAGACATAATCAGTCGCACCAGATTTTTGGGAACTCTGTTTGGCTCTGAGAACATGGGCTCCGTTTTCTGGGAACGCGGTCGATGGCTTTTTTTGACATCAACACATGACGCAGGGGTTTTTCCGCAAATATTTTCTTCAATTACCACCCATAAAGTCAAATTGCATGTTTATTTTATTCAATTGTCTCAGACTTCTTTCTAGTAGTTTTGGAAGTTTTTGATGCAAGTTTCAGTAGTCATTGGATGCCTCTGTAGGATTCACTTCTAATCGATCCCCTTTTCCTTTGTAAACATCAACAGTTTCACTTTCGCTCCATTTGGAAGTGATAAGACCAGACTTTCTTAAGGACTCCATAAAGTCCAGCAAGTCCGCATTCCCCGGCATTTTTTATGTCCTGTTAGCCCTGTTGGTACTAGACTTTTTTTGTTTTTCTGTACCAGTGTCACTCTCAGTGCCAGTGTCACTTACGAAGTTAGCCCTCTGAATCCTGGACTTTTTTCTCTGCCAATTCATTTTCTGGATAGTAGTTTCCTCCAGTGAGCCAGCGGCGGGTGGGCTTATCTTTTGTTTTAAACGTATTGGTCTCATTCAAAAGATTTCAGATGTAACTTTACCACTGTGAGAGAATATCCCAGTCACAATTCAGGAGTCTTCCTTCACATTTTTTGGATTTTGCTACAACCACATCTTTTTGATCGTTTTTTTTTTGCCTGGTCATGAGGAACATTGTATGTCGTGTCTCCGTTTTTGAGAGATCTTGAAAACATTTCTGGCTGCGTTTTATAAGTCAAAGTAGTTGGCTGTTTCACTACTGTGTTCTGTCTCCAATATATCACCCGGTCTTCTTCATATCCAGACTTCTTCCACTTTTTGAACAAATATCTTTTCTTACTAAGTCTTTGCCTATATTTTCATTCCACCACGATGTTTCTCTTTTTCACGCTGTTTTTGTGGTTGCTTAGCCACATAGTTTTTCGCATCTTCTAGAAGGGTTCATTTTAATTTTTCCTGGTTTGCTTGTATTTGGCTTGTTCTAATTTCTTTTTTATTGCTTCTTTGTTTTTGGTGTGGTTTTCGCTTTTTTAATTTCCACTATTTTAATTTTCTAAATGGTTTTTATTTATGGTGGTAAGTGGGAACTTCAAGATGGAAATCGCACACAAAAGGTCTGTGTTGAGTGCCACATTCGTAGCCCTTGACGAACACACAGTTGAAATTAGCTTATCAAAGTTTTGAGGGGCATCACAATTTTTTAAATAGTATAAATTTTCTTACCAGAAACCGTTGGCCATAAATTCAAGTTTTGCCAAAAGAAATCATTACAAAAATATCAAACTCGGAAGTGTAACTGAAGGCTCCTATAAATGATAGTTTTTCTTGGAAACCCTTCAATGTTACTATTCAATCAAAACTAGGAGTATTTGATGTTCAGTTTTTTTCTAAATAATTTCATAGTATTTTTTGTATAGACAGTAAGAATTTAGAGAAAGAGTCTCTAGTTTCTATTCATCATAACTAAAATATTTCTAATTTCCATTACCAATTGTTGTGAACATTTGCTGTGATCGCTTTTTAAATGATTCCTATTAACAGTGTATTCTATCTTTTTGAAAGTGAATTTTGGGCATATTAAACATTTGATTGGAAATTTAGTGTATTATTGGAAATCTACGAAGTTTATAAAGAGTTGATGAACGTGAAAACTCTTTAATAGGTCATGGTGATTTTTTTTTCAGGAAAAGTTGCTCACGCTCAAATTTGATTTTTTTTGTGGTTTGATTTTTATTTTCTGTAAGTTCAGTTCATTTCATCTCAGTTCAGTTCAGTTCATTTCAGCTGAAAAGAATGCAAACGCCTCTATCCAATAGCAAAAAATGGAACGTAACGAACAACTTGATCGACTTCTAATTTCGAAAGTGGATTGTTATTTTCAGATTTCCTGTCAAAATAGAAACTACCTTTTGATCCATTTTTTTTTTCAAATTGTTAGTTCTATCAAAAAAGTGTCAATCATTTTTAAAGAGTAATGAACGTAGTGAAGACTCTTACATAGTTCTGGCTGATTTTTTTTTGTTTCAGGAAAAAGTCTTAAAGTTTCTTCACGCTCAATTTCGATTTTTCGCGGTGTAACTTGTGATTTCTTTTTAAGTTCAGTGCATTTCTACTGTTAAAAGGAAGGCAAACTCGACTATCTAACAGCAAAGTTGTAAAGGTCTGAAAAAATCTCTTTAAGTTCAGTGCATTTCTACTGTTGAAAGGAAGGCAAACTCCACTACCTAACAGCAAAATTGTTAATGTCACGAAAAACGTGAGCGACTTCTAATTTTGAAAATGGAAATTAATTATCAGATTTCTCAGCGAAATAAAAGTTTTACCGTTTGATCCATTTTTTTAAGTTAGGTTAATTTTATTAAAAAGTGTCCATCGTAAATTGTTTTACAAATTCAAAGAGCTTTAAGGCCATCTAATTGTTTACTCGAGATTCAAAAGTTGCAAAAGTCGTTTTTTTTTTAGTTTCCTTGTGTTCATTACTCTTCTCCAACTGTCAGTTGACTATGTCATTGAATTTCCAAGATTTTTAAGGACAGGTGGTTTGACCGCGAAAATTAAAACTTCGTTTTTTTTTCAAAAATAGTTGTTTTTTTTTCTGTTTCCTTTTTTTCCTGTTTCCTTTCGTTCATTGCTTTATGTAGGTCGTGTTTATTTTAAGAAAAAATTCGAATACACTCATGTTAGATTTTTCTGTGGTTTGTTTTTCGTTATCTTTTGAAGTTCAATTTAAATTCGTTTGTTTAAATTCGTTTGTTAACGTGAATTAGCTTGTTTCAAAATTTGGCTTTTAATCTTCAGAATTCCTACTGGAAGGAAACAAGACATATTGACCCAGGTTTCCTCTTAGATTATTTTATGAGTATTACGTGTCAATAATAAGAGAGGATTGTAGATTCAGAGATGTGTTTTTTGGTCGAAATTCAAATGTTGAAAATTGTTCAAATAGTTTTTTTCGGTTTCTTTGTCTCTTGGCTTTGTTTTCGAGCAGCTAATCAGATGGGAATAGCTACAACTACTTTAAGGGTCAATTTTTGAACATATTTGGCTATATCTGAATACATTGTTCTGCAATTGGGAACACTAGCCTTGAGGTTGACAATGTTTAAGGTTCCGATTGGGCTGACTGAGATGTGCAAAGATGCCTTACGTGACTTCGACCCAGTGGCCGAGTACAGGAGAGAGAAGGAGATAGAGGGGGCTAAGTTGAGGAAGAAGTACAAGCACAGGAGGAGGTATGACCCCCTCATCGCCAGGGGATTCAAGAGCAAGAAGCTTGTGAGGAGACCCAACTATTTGGCCAAGGAAAAAGGCGTCGACTTCGGCCCTAAGAGGTTGGTACTATTTCTATCGGTTCAAGTGTGTATGCAAGCTAAAATTAATGTAGCGCCAAAACCTGTCTCCACTGTATATGTGTGTGCAAATATGTGCGCGGTCTCTAGGTGGCGATCATGGGGGTGAGTTTGGGTTCTCGTCAAGTTCTACGTGCACCTTCTTTGAAGTTAGTTTTGACTTAAAGCATTATTGTCTTTCTGCCTTCCATTATGGGCACAATTAGACACTTTATGGCGTCATTTGCGGCCAGTCTGTCCTGAGGACATGATCCCATCTCGATTTCAGCCTCTGATTTCTTTCTGCTTCAGCCAGGATGCCAATGTGTGTGGTTTTAAAACGCTGACATTTCGCCAGGAGCTTTCCTCGCTTGTATATGTTCCTTATATGTGGGAAGAGGGATCTAACTGGCTGCATAGTTGAGTTTGGCTTCTAGTCAAGACTGTTGCGTTGGGGATTTTCCAAGTTTCGAAAGCGTGAACTCCTCCTTGACAGCCATAACTGCCGTATAGTTTTTTTTACCCGTTGCTTTTATTCCTCTGGTGGACACTGTTAGTACGCGGATTATCTGGAATATTGCTTCCAGCTTATTTTGCGCTGTAGAATTTTGTTGCGTGAAGCGTATCTGAGAGCATCTCGACGCCAAGGATTGTTAGAAGGGGGTTAGTAGTTTTTGAAATTGGGTATCAGGAAGTGATACCGGTGGTACCAGATCACAACCCGTAATATTTTTTTTTGCTCGCAGAGACTAATGATAACAAACAAAAGCTAAGCTCGAAAGAATATTCTGAGTCTGGCTCGATGAGAACTTAATTTTTTGCGAATCTTATCATGCCAATTGCCACGCAGCTATCAAACAATGAAACTGTGAAACTACTTTTTCCGCGCAAGCGATGGAACAAAAGTTTTAAAATGTTTTGTTGTTACTGATAATAAAACTTTGATCGGTTCAACAATTGCTCCAAAGTTGTAAGGCTGTCTAGTTCTATAGCCTAAATAAATACCTTCACAAAAAGTTTGGCGGCTTTAAATCACACAAAGAGGCGAAGTTGCACTTGGCAAAAAAAAGAGAAGCTATCAACAAGATATGAAGTTTTTCATTGCTTGAGCAGTTTGCTTCAAAGTAGTTTGACGAGTGGTTTAAGTTTTCAAATTTGTTTTAAAATACTCTAAAAAGTTTGCATTAACATGCTTAAAAACTGATTATTTTTGTGACCCTTTTTCATTGACTGATTGCTCGAGTTGCTTTGTTAAGTGATGAATGTAGTGTTTACTCTTATATGGTCTTGTTATTTTACTTTTGTCATGAAATCTTAAAATTTGTTCGCGCTCAATTTTGATTTTTGCGGCTTGACTTTTGGTCTTTTTAAGTTCACTTTATAGCTTTTGTTAAAAAAAAGGCAAACTCCACTATCGAATAGCGAAAGTGTAAAGGTCATGAAAAACGTTGACAACTTCTAATTTTCAAAATGGAGTTTAACTATCAGTTTTCTCAGCGAAATAAAAATCTTCCTTATTAATCCACTTTTTACACTAGCGATCAGCGCATTGTTTTATTACAAACCTTCTTTTTTTCTAACCTAACTCGCAAATAAAAGTGTATTGGTTGTTGGATCTATAGGTTGCAGGATGGGATATCAGACGTAGCCGGATTTTGAATAATTCGAGGCTTATTTCTAAATTTTCTTTTTGCACTTAATACAACTGCTTTTTGTTCTGTTCTCGCCAGTGTTTGCGAAGCGAAGCTTCGCTTCTGTGTCTCAAATTGGGTTAATTTTATCATAAAAACCAATCATAAATAGTTTGTGAATGTGACAGAGCTTTAAGGGCATTTTTTCTTGATTTATTTTTGAAAAACCTTTCAAATATTTTTTTTCTGTGTCCTTGCGTGCATTGCTCTTTTCCAACTGTCTTTGTGGTGTATCTGTCGTTGTTGTTCCTATCGAAATTGTGTTGATGCTTCTTATAGTTTCGCTTTTTGAATCCAGTGCATGAAAATCCATAGTTTTTGGTGTTTTGATGCATTCTTTAATTTTATTCATTATTTTGAGGTATCAAGATCTTTCTCAATGTCAATATAAATAAAACTAACGGTATTTAGCTCTGCCTTGCTTAGTATGTTAGTCTTCCATCACAGGCGCATCAAAAATTATTTTATTCGACTCAAAGAAATCTATAATGTTCTTTTTACCTTACCTGATTGAAAAAAGGATTTATACATACTTAGGGTAGGCGTTTGTGGTTAGAGATAGGGTTAGGGTCGAACTCTTACTAACACAATTAGTTGTAGATGAAAATCATAAGTTTGGGTCAAAAAGCCACCGTAATTTGAAAGGCAATAGCGTGTTCAGGGACACATGTTGAGAAAAGGGTTAATCAATGATAGCGCTCCAAACTTTTGAAAGCTCTAGCTAAAACTAATTTGACGTCAGCTAGAAGATACTGAGCAGATTGTAGTAGCAAATTACACAGTTGTTTAATTGCATAATTTTTTGATGGAAAAAAAACAAAATATTTGGATGCTCAATGTATAACCTCAAATTCATATCAAGTTTTGAGTTTGTATCCATAACTTGTCTTAGTTTGTCTTCTGGCTTTCCCAATTAAATTTGCTCTAATTTGATTAACTGCTCCCTTAAAAGTCGCAAATATTTTTCAGCTGCTTTCTTCGATAGTCGTTCTGTTTTGTCGTATAAAATCACACATAAATAACCGTTTGTTTTCCCCCTGTTTTTAGGTCCGCTTTGATGAATTTTTTCAAAAAATCAGTTTGCACAGATAAGTTAATAAGACGTACTAAACGTTTTTTAGAAGCCTCGAAAATTGTTTCCTTTTTACTATACAAATTGGTATATGCAAGTCTTAGAAATGACTGTAGCAAAATTAATGGGCATATTTGGCTTTCATCAGTGTTCTCGCTTTTCAAGATCCTTAGCCATTTCAACTTTTCAGCTCTTTCAAACTTTTCTATAAAATCAAAGCTTTTGTCATAGCTTTCAGACGTTTTTTCAGTCTCATGTAGACACAGAAAATGGAAATGTCGAAACTTTCAAGCAATTTTCATTATTTTAGAATTTTTTGTGTTTCGTTATTTTTCTTTGTCTTTTACCTTCATTTGGCTTCAAGTAATTTTTCATTCTTATTTCGTTCAAATTGATCATTAGTTTTTGCCTAAATTTTTGCACTTGACGAATTTTCCTTTCTTCGAGATTCAGCAATAAAACATGCATTTTTGAAGGAAATCGTTCACTGCCGCCAACAGTTAAGCTACGCTGCCAAAATCTTGTGCTCTCCTATATACCATATAGTTTGGTTGCATATAATAGGTATATAACGTCATTTTACATGTAATCAAGCCAATACCCTCAAATTTTAGAAGGGAAAAAATGCACCAACAAAAACTTAATTCCATTCCCGTTTCCATAAAGTGGCTGGAAAATTACCAATTTTAACCCCCCTTAAAACATGTGTGCCCGAAAAAGTAGGTGCAACGGCATACCGAAAAAAGCAACGGCACACCGAAAATTTTTTTTAATTTCCAGGAAAAGTCTTAAAGTCTCTACTAACTACAGATGTGCATTCATACGCACTGGTGCATTTTTGAATACACTTAGGTTGAAATACACTTTTTGAGTTCAATTGAAATTCGTCTGCTGAAGTAGCACTCTCCAAATACGAACGTGGAAATGGCGCGAAAAAACGGGAACGATTTGCAGTTTCGAAAGTGGAAATCAATTTTTAGATTTCTAGCGGAATAAAAACTTTACCTCTTGATCCAGGTTTCTCTAGTTGGGGGTCATATTATCAGAAAAGCGCCAATCATAAATTGTTCTAGAAATGCAAAGAGCTTAAATGGCATTTTTTTCTTTGAAATACGAATCATGAGATTTTTTCAAGAAAGTCAGTGATTTTTTTATGCGTTCATTACTCTTATGCGTTCATTTTTCTTCGTCTTTGTGTTATTTTTGATAGCTTATTTTGCAGCGCTCTAGGATTGTTTGAGGTCGATCAAAAAGTTGATCAAATTCCGTATCATCAGTCGTGGCGTTGTGTAGCTCTTGATCAGCAATAAATGATTGAGCCTAGCAAAGCTGAACGTTTCATCGCTCTTCTGATTTTGTTTCCGCTCTTCTGATTTTGTTTCGAATCAGATGGGAAAGCGTTGTATTGCTTATCTCACAGTTTTATCTTACTTGTTGATTTCTTTTAGCATGTTAATGATTATTCTTAGCTCATCAGCTAAGAATAATCATTAACATGCTAAAAGAAATCAACAGGTAAGATAAAACTGTGAGATAAGCAATACAACGCTTTCCTATCTGATTCGAAACAATCCTGATGATTTTGAGGCGAAGCAGAATGAATACCTCGCAATAGCTGGAAAGCGACTATTTCAAATCAAAATTGAGGTAGAAATGATTTGATTACACTTGCGATCAGCTAAGTGTAGTGTTACGAACCTTAGTTTTTTTTTTACTTAACTTGCATATAAAAGTGTTCATTTAAATGTGTTCACTATTTGGAAATTTCACTGTAGTAATGGTTATTGTGTTAGAATCTGTTTTCTGCTTTACTTGTGGCTTGTGTTTGATGCAAATTAAGCGTCCATGGCTGAGTGGTTAGTGTGTGATACTCTAAATCTAGCTGGTTCGAATCTCAGACAATGCCGAATTTTTACTAACTCGAGGTTTATTTCTCTTTTTATTGCACTTTATAGAGCTGCTTTTGTCGTTTTCTCGCAAGTGTTTGTATAGCGAAGCTTCGCCTCGCCCTGTGTTGATTTATGGGAAAATCAACATGCGTCTTTCATCTTATTTTTTATGGGAACTAACAATTGAATCATCATGTCAAAAAATACTTTGTTGCTCCAACATCAAATAATTTTTTTTCGATTATTCAATTTTTGTTTTATGTTTGTTTGGCATTGATTTTTATTATTACTATTCATTATTAGTTCTAACAATAACAAATAAACAAACAAAAACAAATCTTGCTTTAATTTTTATAGAGATGTAAATAAATTCGAATCAAATGAATGATTTTTGATTATCAATTGTCTCAATTCCAAAGCTCCTAATGTTTGGAAAGCTAGTTATTTTTTTGAACTTTTAATGTCTTCTATGTATCTTTTAAAAGAATTTCCGTTCTAAATATGCATTGGTTTTGTGTAGTTGGAATTGAATGCAGGTAAGTGGGAGGAACAGAGGTTTGTAGAGAAAAAGAGAAAAAAGTGTCTAATGAGGGAAGGAGTGGTTATGATTCGCAATCTGATCTGATCTGATCTGATCTGATCTGATCTGATGTGATGTGATTGTAGGAGTGACGATGTGTTCCGGATGCGGAAGCAGAACACCAGTCGGCCTCCCTCCATGCACGTGGACGACTTCATGCTGCTGGAGAAGGCAGAGAATTACGAAGGGGTAGGAGGCGTGAACAGGTCTAGCAGGACCAAGGTCAGTCTAGTCCCTCTCGCTCCTCCAAGGCAGGCAGGGAGGTAGCTTGCATGCTTGTACTGGCTGATGAGAATCCAATAATGGACGAGCGATGACAAAAGCAGGATTGTTTACTCATTATAGATCGTGTTCGATCTGACAAAAGTCAAACTGGCGAACGGTAGCCACTATGAGATTAAAGCTATTAACGATGGCTATATTCTGAGCTGTTTGCGATATATTCTTAAGTCTGTTGAAAGGAGGGCTTAATGTTCCGATCATTGAAAGTGGGGAGGAACTTTGTACTTGGTATTCGGGTGTTTTCGTTTTTTTTTTTCGTTTTCCACGCAAAATCACGTACCACAAATAATCATCTGACTGGATTGAGTGAAATATCAGGATAAAGTCCTGACAGTCGTGATTAGAAACACGAAAAAAAAACGTTTCATTCGAGAAAAACCGGTTCGCAACTTTTGATTTTTCGTCTTATTTCGAGCGAAGAAAGCGAGCGAGTAGTCTTGTTTTAATTGCTCAGAAGCTTACAATAGCGGTTGCATAGGGGGGAGGGATAGTTAGCATGATCCGTATTTTTTAAAACTATGGTTGGATTATTCTGTGCTTACTGTGTGCTATTATTGCAGTTTCGACAAATGATTAGAAAGCTAGCTTCAATAGAATTCAGAAGTCAAATGATTAGAGCTACACATTTGTTCGTGCGACGTGACACAACCTCAGGCAGCGAATTGTTTTAGCCGATGTAAAATTAATAAACTAGAATAATGTTGAGGCCCCGTCTAATTTAATAAGTCTTTGACATCAAACAAGGATAATTCATTAGCGGGTAGCTTTAATCGTTTGCACTTGTTTATTCTGCTGAAAGTCCAAATAAATGTTGTCCAAAACAAGTTTCTTAAAATGTTTAATAAATGAATTTGCAATGTTTTCTGTCAACTAGAGCAGCACAAATAAGGAGCTACAGTTTTTTTGTAAATAGGCTGAAGTCTATAACGAAAAAAAAATCCGTGCGCTCTAAATTTAAAAAAATTGTATAGCGTTCTATCATGATGTAATGAAATGGTTTTTTCCAGTGACCCTCCTTCAAATCTCTGTTTTGATACCTTTTAAGCAATTAAGTTGTTATTTCAAGCATTAAGCAATTAACATTGTATAGCGTTCTATCATGATGTAATGAAATGGTTTTTTCCAGTGACCCTCCTTCAAATCTCTGTTTTGATACCTTTTAAGCAATTAAGTTGTTATTTCAAGCATTAAGCAATTAACATTGTATAGCGTTCTATCATGATGTAATGAAATGGTTTTTTCCAGTGACCCTCCTTCAAATCTCTGTTTTGATACCTTTTAAGCAATTAAGTTGTTATTTCAAGCATTAAGCAATTAACATTGTATAGCGTTCTATCATGATGTAATGAAATGGTTTTTTCCAGTGACCCTCCTTCAAATCTCTGTTTTGATACCTTTTAAGCAATTAAGTTGTTATTTCAAGCATTAAGCAATTAACATTGTATAGCGTTCTATCATGATGTAATGAAATGGTTTTTTCCAGTGACCCTCCTTCAAATCTCTGTTTTGATACCTTTTAAGCAATTAAGTTGTTATTTCAAGCATTAAGCAATTAACATTGTATAGCGTTCTATCATGATGTAATGAAATGGTTTTTTCCAGTGACCCTCCTTCAAATCTCTGTTTTGATACCTTTTAAGCAATTAAGTTGTTATTTCAAGCATTAAGCAATTAACATTGTATAGCGTTCTATCATGATGTAATGAAATGGTTTTTTCCAGTGACCCTCCTTCAAATCTCTGTTTTGATACCTTTTAAGCAATTAAGTTGTTATTTCAAGCATTAAGCAATTAACATTGTATAGCGTTCTATCATGATGTAATGAAATGGTTTTTTCCAGTGACCCTCCTTCAAATCTCTGTTTTGATACCTTTTAAGCAATTAAGTTGTTATTTCAAGCATTAAGCAATTAACATTGTATAGCGTTCTATCATGATGTAATGAAATGGTTTTTTCCAGTGACCCTCCTTCAAATCTCTGTTTTGATACCTTTTAAGCAATTAAGTTGTTATTTCAAGCATTAAGCAATTAACATTGTATAGCGTTCTATCATGATGTAATGAAATGGTTTTTTCCAGTGACCCTCCTTCAAATCTCTGTTTTGATACCTTTTAAGCAATTAAGTTGTTATTTCAAGCATTAAGCAATTAACATTGTATAGCGTTCTATCATGATGTAATGAAATGGTTTTTTCCAGTGACCCTCCTTCAAATCTCTGTTTTGATACCTTTTAAGCAATTAAGTTGTTATTTCAAGCATTAAGCAATTAACATTGTATAGCGTTCTATCATGATGTAATGAAATGGTTTTTTCCAGTGACCCTCCTTCAAATCTCTGTTTTGATACCTTTTAAGCAATTAAGTTGTTATTTCAAGCATTAAGCAATTAACATTGTATAGCGTTCTATCATGATGTAATGAAATGGTTTTTTCCAGTGACCCTCCTTCAAATCTCTGTTTTGATACCTTTTAAGCAATTAAGTTGTTATTTCAAGCATTAAGCAATTAACATTGTATAGCGTTCTATCATGATGTAATGAAATGGTTTTTTCCAGTGACCCTCCTTCAAATCTCTGTTTTGATACCTTTTAAGCAATTAAGTTGTTATTTCAAGCATTAAGCAATTAACATTGTATAGCGTTCTATCATGATGTAATGAAATGGTTTTTTCCAGTGACCCTCCTTCAAATCTCTGTTTTGATACCTTTTAAGCAATTAAGTTGTTATTTCAAGCATTAAGCAATTAACATTGTATAGCGTTCTATCATGATGTAATGAAATGGTTTTTTCCAGTGACCCTCCTTCAAATCTCTGTTTTGATACCTTTTAAGCAATTAAGTTGTTATTTCAAGCATTAAGCAATTAACATTGTATAGCGTTCTATCATGATGTAATGAAATGGTTTTTTCCAGTGACCCTCCTTCAAATCTCTGTTTTGATACCTTTTAAGCAATTAAGTTGTTATTTCAAGCATTAAGCAATTAACATTGTATAGCGTTCTATCATGATGTAATGAAATGGTTTTTTCCAGTGACCCTCCTTCAAATCTCTGTTTTGATACCTTTTAAGCAATTAAGTTGTTATTTCAAGCATTAAGCAATTAACATTGTATAGCGTTCTATCATGATGTAATGAAATGGTTTTTTCCAGTGACCCTCCTTCAAATCTCTGTTTTGATACCTTTTAAGCAATTAAGTTGTTATTTCAAGCATTAAGCAATTAACATTGTATAGCGTTCTATCATGATGTAATGAAATGGTTTTTTCCAGTGACCCTCCTTCAAATCTCTGTTTTGATACCTTTTAAGCAATTAAGTTGTTATTTCAAGCATTAAGCAATTAACATTGTATAGCGTTCTATCATGATGTAATGAAATGGTTTTTTCCAGTGACCCTCCTTCAAATCTCTGTTTTGATACCTTTTAAGCAATTAAGTTGTTATTTCAAGCATTAAGCAATTAACATTGTATAGCGTTCTATCATGATGTAATGAAATGGTTTTTTCCAGTGACCCTCCTTCAAATCTCTGTTTTGATACCTTTTAAGCAATTAAGTTGTTATTTCAAGCATTAAGCAATTAACATTGTATAGCGTTCTATCATGATGTAATGAAATGGTTTTTTCCAGTGACCCTCCTTCAAATCTCTGTTTTGATACCTTTTAAGCAATTAAGTTGTTATTTCAAGCATTAAGCAATTAACATTGTATAGCGTTCTATCATGATGTAATGAAATGGTTTTTTCCAGTGACCCTCCTTCAAATCTCTGTTTTGATACCTTTTAAGCAATTAAGTTGTTATTTCAAGCATTAAGCAATTAAGTTGTTGAATAAAGCCAGCGAGCACTCTTATTTTAACTGCTTATAAGCTTTTAATAGCTTAATTTAAAACGTAAAAACTTAGTTTTACTCGAGTAACGTTAGTTTACTTTGAGTATTTTAGCGCCTTTTTGGAATCGAAATTTTCAAAAATTCAAAAGCTGCATAACTTAAAAAAATTGATTTTTTTTAAATTCTTTAAGTAAGTTAGTTTCTACAAAAATTGTTTTTCAATTTGCTTATTTTACTATGACTGTCAAACATACCTAATCTCCAGTTTTTTTGGTCAACTCATTTTATCACACCACGCCGAACAAAAAGCAATAATAATTTGAAAAAAAAGTTGTGTATTTTTTGAGACTATGGTCGGAACATTCGGTGCCACTTGCACATAACCGGCTATCCTTGTTACTCTTGGTGACTCGTAGTTTTGTGTTTCAGTCGCGCACGATAGTGTCTGGTGGTCAAGTCTCCATGGGCATAGGCATGGGGGGCAGCAATGTGATCATGAGCAGACGCATTCCCTCCATAGTGCCGGGGGCATTCCCTCCATCCTACGCACCCGTCCTTTCTAACTCTCCACTCCAGATGGGACAAGGAATACATGGAACTGGAGGGAGGGTTGGAGGGGGAGGGGGAGGGGGAGGTGCGGAAGGGAGCAGCTCCTCCTCTTCTGCTCAGTTCAACACTAGTCAAGCTAACGAACGGGGTTCGTATCTATCTATCTATCAATCTTCTAGAACAGCATATATTCGACCAAGTTATTTGACCCATTTGTTAACATCTATTTTCATGGTTTTCATTGACTACTGCAATTTTTTGGACATGACTGTTAATTTGACCTCGTAAACTGGTTTTAATCTGTTTCCACGTTAAATTTGACGCCCTTTTGGTTTGATCACAATGAGATCATTTGAGAGGTTTGACTTTGAAGTGAGCATGTGGCTTAGGCATGAGGAGGCTGAGTGTTGCTGAACATACGAGACAGTACCTCGAGTGGGTAACCGAGTTCTATCGTTAGTTGTCTTGTCTCTTCTCTCTTGCTAGTACTCAATACAGTTAATCCACTTCAGTACAGCAGTCCCTTCTTCTTCTAGCTGTCGTTACACTTTGTTGTGTTGTTTGTTATTGCTCTGCTTCTCTCTCTTTTAAGTGTAAAAGAACTAAGTGAGGTTCACTTACATAGCTTGTGAGACTTTTTTCGTTTAGGAATGTTTTTTTTTGTTACCGCTCAAGTTTGATTTTTCGCGGTTTCCCTTTTGATTTTTTTCTACAGTACAGCCCATTTCCTTTGTTAAAAGGAAGGCAAACTCCACTATCGAACAACGAAAGTGTAAAGGTGACGAAAAACTTTCTGAATTTGCAGCGGAATAAAAAGTTACCCATTGATCCAATTCTGTCTGAGTGGGTTATTTTTAATAAGAAAGTGCCAATCAAAAACATCTTTTTTAATATCAGAGCTTTAACCTGGTCTGTTTTCCTCGAATTTCAAAAGTTGAAATTGTGCAAAATTATTTGTTTTCGGTTTGCTTGTATTCTTTACATACACTTTTCCAAACATCTGTTGGCTATGTTAATGTTTTGGGTCATGGGCGTATTACATGTTGTCATTGTCAATTTAAAATGGAAATGGAGTATAATTTATAAATGCAGTAACAGTTCACAGCATTTCGACTGGATACTTATAAATACTCCTACGGCTTAATGTGTGGAGGAACTTTGGACCCCGATGTTTTTATAACTCAAACACACATTTCACTAACAAATATTATCCGGGCCTTTGAAAACGATTTCAAAACGTTTTAAGTTGTGACTTATACTGAAATACAAAGCTGGTAGTAAGTTGATGAATTGAGTAAATCATTTTTTGTGTATACCAGGTTTTTGAGTATGCCTATACCCAGGACAACCAGGATCACAGTTCGAATAATCCGGCTTCTAATTGCGCTCGATAAATTTGTAAGACGCTGGAGCTTGTGTTTAACGCTGGAGGTTGTGTTTCTCGGCTTGTTTTTCTCGTAAAGAACATCATTTTAAACAAATGTGGTAACTTTCTGTAGAAATAAGTTTTTCGACGTCTCAAATTTTTCATAGACTTAGTAGTGATTTCGCTCCCCTAGTTTGCAATGTTATGTTTCTGTGATACCGCAAGAGGTGCAAAGCTCCGCTTTGCCTATAATTGAATTGAGTATGCTCCGAAGTTACCAAAATATAAGGTAATTCGTGTTGTGAACGTTCTTTCTTTCTTTAGCCCATGTTGGGTGGGTTCTGCTCATCTGTCTCCAGGCTCAGTAACTTTGCTACTTCTACCAGCCTTAACCACAGATCTGCCGGGGTAAAAGGGGAGGGATATATGGTGCAGTGAAAAATATGGCAACTAGTGTGGGGTGGTTGAGTTGAGCAAGCTTATAGCGGGTGGTTCTTGAAAGGGACTGCTCAGAGGGGGTGATGCTTGGAAAGGAATGGAAATGAATTTTGCGGAGGGGATTCTGCTAGGAACTCGTTTACTAGGTTTAAATTTTTTTAAGAACGGACTTATGGTGATTAAAAACAAAGTGGAAACTTCTGAGTCGTCAAGATTTAGTGACTGGGTTTTGTCGATTAAAAGGGAGTCTGTGTCGTATTTAAAAGCAACTAAAATGGTTTGTCGAATTTGACGTGGGATATAGTGTAAGAGTGATAAAAATGATTTGCGTGATGTGAACGGCATGTGGAGATTAAAAACGTTAAAAGAGAACGATGGTTTGGAATAATGAGGATGTCGACTTCACTGTGCAGGTGGGCTTTGGAGCTCATAAAAGTTGAGCCTGTGGTTATACAGAGGGCTTGATTGTACCTGTTACCTGTAGATGAAATAGCGGTTAGGGTTAGGTCGCGGAGTCATAATCTAAAACAGGACGAACTAAGGCTTTGTAGAATAAAAGCTGGGTTTTCTAGACTGACCCCGAGAGGAACAAGCTAACGCCTTCAGGACTCCTATCCTGCGACTTGTCTTATCAGCAGATCTCTTGCAGTGAGCAGAAATCGGGTCAAAAGTAATCCCTAAATGTTTCGGATTTTCTGAGAGAGAGAGAGATGCTCGTTGTTTAAGAATACAGTTGGAGTTTTGTTAAAATATTTGCTGTATGAAAAAGCAAGGTAACTGATCCTTAGGAGGACGGGAATGCTAGCTTACGGGAGGTGAAAAAGTTATTTAAAAGCGTTGTAGTTAACCATTTAGTGAGCACGATGCTGCCTCAATGTCAGGACTTATCGAAGAGGTGGAAATGATCAGCGTCTGAGCTGAGGCCAACATATTCGGGGGCGGAGGGGCGTCATGGACGTAAAATTTTTTTAAAAATTCGGTGATGAAACGGAGCCCTGGGTAACACCACAGTGAACAATTCTGTGCGGTGATACTTGGTTATCAGAAATAGTGTTGGCTTGTCGGTCATATAAGTAGTTGCTCAGCCAGCAAACTATACTCTTGGCAGCGGTGTGTCGTAAATGAGTTCCACTAGTGATCTATGTCACACCATAGCAAAGACCTTTGAAAAGTCAAGTGTGGCGAGGGCAGATTGTAAGGCCATCATTAATTAAAAATTTTCAAAGGTGGAGAGTGCGGTTGTGGGGAAGATAAATGGGCGGAACCCGTGTTGGCGTGTGGCATTTGGGAGATGCTTTGTGAGGGGATGGATGAGCCTCTCTAAAATTCAGGAAAAGGAGCACAGTAGTGAAATAGGCTGTACGATGTGAAATGTTTATGGGCAGGGGGATAACCTTGGAGTGTTTCCACATTTGGGGGAATATATTATCAGACAGTGAAAGGTTATACAAATGAGTCAAGTGCAAGAGTTTAGAGGTGTTTGAGTTGACATTAGAAAGGCTCTCCGAATTGAGTGATCATGAGGGTTTGCTATCCGCATTGGCTTGTGTAGTTTAGTGAGGGGAGAAAGTTGGACTATCAGACAGAGAAAGTTTGGAAATTTTGCGTTAAGTTATCCTGAATATTTTGTCGGAGGCATGGTTCCTAGCATTTGTAAATTGCTTACTAAACGCTTTGCTATATCAGTAATTGAGGTTATGTATTTCACAGCCAAATGTTATGGGGTGCCTACCTACGCCATGTATTTTTCTTGTCTTTGCTGTATGATTCATACAGCAAAGTTTGGAAGGTGTGGAACGAGAGTGCTGCGTGGTTTCCATGAGCTGATTGTTGTGGCGGCAGCGGTCTCTTTGAAAAGCCAGAGAAGCTGACCCCCGAGAAAGAGTGAGGTGTAGTGGCAGTGACGCCTGGCGGGTATGTGGTGGCGTGCTGGCCTGGGCAGCAGATCTCCGAAGAATTTTTTCCCGGCCGCATTTCAAGACGGAATCCCCGAAATGAAACCGTCTCAATCTCGTCGGTAAATTGCCTCCGGTCAGCCCTGAGGAATTTTGTTATGTCTTTTTCAATGAAAAGAGTATGTTATTATCGAATGTAATTCAATAAGTATGGCAAGGTGGTCGGAGCCTAGGGAATTGATTGGGGTCCAGGATGCAAAAAGTAAAAGGAATTGTCAGGTGAGGAATGTTTTGCATCAGAATTAAAAGGTACTTTTGTTTGGGTTTCGTCATGTATTGGTGCAAAAGTGGATTTGTAATTTCATAAGAGTACTTGACCATGGTGTTAGGTTTCTAGAGGAAAGAATGGGTGTTGGCGTCCCTCAGTACCAGAAGATCACTAGGAACCAGGAGATAAGTACGGAATGCTGTATAACTGGGAGTACAACTAGATCTGGGGGGTATGTAGAAGTTATTGATACGAATTTTAGACGGACTGGCAAACACATACACATCCGTCAGTTTTTACAGTAAGTTCTTTGTACTGTATAGATTCGTGGATAGCTGTGAGGAGGTTACCACCCTCTTTGTTTCTGTCTTCAAGGATGAGTGAGTATAAAGTACCTATGGAGCGGATATGACCATGTTTTTTCAACTTGGTTTCCTGGAAGAGAGCAATATGGATTTGATTCTGGGCTAAGAAAGCTGTGATTTCTGGAGCTTTCTAAGACATTCCATTACAGTTGAATTGTAGTATTCTAAAGGTTCCTTTAGTCAATTGGGTGTTGGTACGGTGGGTTCGTACGTAGAAGTGCAGAGGGGGTGGTAAAATTCGCGGTGATACTCTTTGAATAATTTAAGGACGCTGCCTTTAAAATGTATCCAGCCACATATGTGACACCAGACACATGCTTGCTTTCGGTGCATGTTTTGGTTGCAAGGGGAACAACTGAAGGGACCGGGGTTGTGAACAGACAGCTAACGTAGTGAAAGCTCTTTTATTGATGGTGAACCAAGTCGTGGTAGCAATAACTGGAAAAGGAGCCATAGTATCATCGATCTATAGCTCGCTCCAGAAATATTTTCCTAATGCTATCTAATTTATGTTATGGAGGGAGTATAAATTTGCTTAAAAGCCTGCTTAAGGTTTGTGAGATCCCAAACCCAAGCCATGAAAATTTCTTGGATTGCTTCCATATTGAATTACTTTACGCTTGCTCAAAGATTGTTGGCCTTGTGGCTGCTCAAAGATTGTCGGCCTTGTATCCGCTTCGTAAGGAGTTTTGTTCTGTTGCTAGTTTGAGTTTAAAATGACTTGCTTTGAATGTTTGCCTAGATCCGCTGTTCGATAAACAACAAGCTTTAAGAAAAATGTATGGAATTGGGTTATGGAAAAAAGTTTCTTTCGCA